TCTCTCTCTCTGTGTGTGTGTGTGTGTGTTTGTGTGTGTTTGTGTGTGTGTGTGTGTGTGTGCGTGTGTATGTGTGTGTGTGTGTGTGTGTGTGTGTGTGTGTGCCTTGGTCATTCCGCACACAAGGGCGCCCAAGACAAGGGCGATGTAAGTGCTCCCTTCGATACGAGAGTGCGATCAACCCCCTTTCGAACAGAGCTTGGCAACAGCCCGGTATGGACGAAGTGGAAGCGACGTCGCTCTCTCTCAGAGTCTCTCTCTCTCTCTCTCTCTCTCTCTCTCTCTCTCTCTCTCTCTCTCTGCCGCGCGCGCGCACCTTGTTCAGTTGTTGTGAACTGCACGTGGGGCACATGTTGTAACTCCTATTAAACGAAGAGAGAATTTTTGAGATAGTTGAATGCCAAAGGATAATAGCAAACGACGCTATGAGCGATTGATACCGGAATGAAAGAACTGTGATTTCTTCCACACTCGGGGAGAAAATAGCAAGGGACGTAAGGAGGGTATTCCTCCCCCTCCTCCCCCTCCTTCCCCATAGCTCTAGTCTGCGCACATGTTGCCTTTTTGACTCCTGTTTTGTTTCCCCTCTTGACCAGCCCTCGCGTTGAGCATCGTGTAATCCTTGGGAAAAGTCATAAAACCTCCCCACGAGGAAACCCCCCAAACGGGGGGGGAAGGTGCCACATGCCCCAAAATCACTTTCAGCGTCGTTTTTGCACCCTGCAAAACACTTCCCCGCCATTTTTACACAGCGGCCGTTACCGGCCCAGCCAGGGTGCCAAAACGGCACCAAAAGTGATTTTGGGACCTGCGGCATATTTTTTTCCCGTCTGGGGGGAAATGGATACAAAGGTTTCGCCGCGGGGAGGTTTTATGACTTCTCCTGTAATCCTTGCTTTGAATATGTCTGTGGTGAGCGTGCCACAGACACAAACAGAGACACACACACACACACACACAGAGAGAGAGAGAGAGAGAGAGAGAGAGAGAGAGAGAGAGAGAGAGAGAGAGAGAGAGTGAGACGTTGTGGGTTGCAAGCACTGTAACTTGCACCGTTGCGCGCAGTTAGCACTGTGTCGATTCGACAGTCCTTGGGATATTAGTGTACAAGAAGTCCTTGGGCCAAAAACAAAAAAAAAAGAAAGTCCTTGCGAACCCAGTTTGTAAGATTTTAGGTGGTGTCGCATGCCTTGAAGGTCTGGAATGGATGTTTAAAAAGGATAATAGGCAAGAATGAAAGGTCTTTACCTCGAACGGAAGACTATGTATACGTTGTTGTTGTTGTTTTTGAAAAGGGGGGGGGGGGGGTTACAATTGGGAACTCCGACACGGTGACTGACTCACGAGAAAACGGTCCAGTGGACAAGAGTGGTGTGATAATGGCACCTTCAAGAAAAACATAAGAACTAGAATGAAAAAATGGCCCAGCAGTACCTAGTTTAGCTGGTGAAAAAACGAGGTAAGTATATGGACCGGATCAGAGGTTAAATTCAGGCAGGCAGCAGTGGTGAGAAATGGGTTCCGAATGGCCGGACTGAAAAAAAAAGCTGGCCGAGAAGCATCTAGATTCTACAAACAGTGTCACACAAAAACCTGGAACTCTCCCCAGCCGGTGGGGTAGGTTGGCTTCACAGCAGTGGGGAGGGAGCAAGGCTTGTATCAGCCCCTCATCATGATGGTGCAGGGTGATCAGGCATTGCCAACGGGGGGAAACCGGCTATGCTAGTGCTGAGCATCTTTCACCAGTCACTCTCACCTCTCCCAACCCACAATGTCATTAGCCGTGTCTAATGGCCAATATTTGGTTGGTGTTCTCCCGTACTATAGATAGAGTGAAGAGAGGATGAGATAGATGAGGAAAATATATATAAAGAAGATTGAGAGAAAAATATAAGTTTAGTTCGGGAAGGTAAAAAAAGAAAAGGGGGCAACAGCTCGTGGGTCACAACCAAAGTTCGTAATAGGCAAAGAAAACAGTCGTCCGCAGGTCCATCCCAGACTTAGTTCAAAACGGCAATAATAACAGTGCCTCCCGTGGAATCCGCCCTGCCTGGCTGGCAGGGCACTACAGGACCTCACAATAAAAAGCAAACAAAAAAAACGACATGTCTCACGGTCCTCACATACTGGCCAGATACATTCCTCAAAGCACTGGTGTTGTAGCGGACCTCGGGTTGGCCTGTGAGACCAGCCCCTTGGCCTGTTCTCACAGGCCTGTGTTATATTCGGGGTAGGCCAGTCCAGGCCGGTACCTCTGTCGGTACCAGCCAGTCCAGTCCAGTCCCGTCAGTCCGCTGGGGTATACCCCAGCCATTGTCTGTTTTCAGTCTCATTCCTTACTTGCACATTTTGGAGTATGTGCGTTGGAGTCTTGCGTGGGGAGCTGCGTTGTGCCATCTTGCTCCCCCCTTCTTCCTCCATCTCCATCTCTATCACTAGCGGAGCACCTCACCTGGTGGGTCCGCTACAGATGTAACTGATAGCACCCTAGGGCGTGGGGGCGCAGCCAGGACGGCGGCGGACCGGTGACCAGCCCACGAGAGCTTCGCTGCACTTTTGTTGTAGACCTGTGAAAAACCAACATCCCAAACGCCACGATAACTGCCAGGTACATTCAATGAGGTGCTACTGTGACTGTGCCCTCAGTGAGGGCGTGTGGGGGACAATCACACGGGAAAAAAAAAAGGAAAAAAAGGACCTTTATGCTGTGATTGAGGGCGGATACAGGACGCAGCCAACAACACAGCCATTCCTGGCTGCGAACTGCCACTCCGAGTTCCACCACGCAGCCGGATCTACCCGCAGAAAGACAGACAATGGCAGCCAGGTGCAGCCGGCTGCCCCTCAGCACAGCGCAGACCCGAATCAAGAAAGCCTAAAACACGCTGGGCACCTGTCCGCCTTCACAGGTAAGATTCAAGAAAGCCTGAAACACGCTGCGCACATGTCCGCCTTCACAGGTAACATACACAATACAAAAAAAAAAAAAAGACCATCTTTCGGCCCATGTGTGCGGGCCCTCGCAACAATGAAAGACCCCAACATTCTGAATCTATGTGTGGATTACATCCGGGCCGTCGACGGTCAGATAACCCTTTCCCGACTTTCCTATACTGGACACCAAGCTACGACCAGTCGGTCTCCAGCGACCATGCGTCCTCCGCCGCGACCGCCGCCATGTTAACGCGACGCCCTGTATACCCTCTTACACCTGTTTTTATGGCCTAGTTGCACGATGTTGCACGACATTGTGAATGCACCTGGACACCCGACATTGTGAATGCAGCTGGAAAACGTGGCCGTCTCGCTGCATCCGAAAAGGTCGACGATGGTTCCTCGTTTCTTTCTTTTTTTTTTCTTTTCTTCTTTCCTTTTTCTTCTTTGGCTCCATCCCTGCACTGTTGAAATGCAGACCCAGGTTCGAATCCCCCTAGTTCTGAATTGTCTAGGGCGTCCGCGTGACATCTGGGCTGTGGCCAATCTGGGGTGTGTCCGAGACATCTCGACCGTGGCCAATATGGGGTGTGGCCAAGACATCTCGGTCGTGGGCAATCTGGGGTGTGGCCAAGACATCTCGGCCATGGCCAATCTGGGGTGTGGCC